TACAACACACCTTAATGATATAACATTTATACGCGTTCTATTGGAGAACGTTGATCATGTTTGTATGTTTAACATGCATCTAGGAATCTAGGTTAGTGAGTATGGATCTCCTAATTATTAAATAAATAAATGCCCTCGCCGTTGTAGAAACAGGCTTCACAGATACTTAGATGTAAAATAAATAGATTAATAAAGTAAATATATGTTACAAGTTAGTGAAAGGCGCAAGCCGGTCCAAACGCTGTTGTTCCGAAAAGCGATACAATCAAAACAATATCCTTGTCGCAGCCTATGTCCTTGTTATACATAGATACGGCACTGATCGCTGCCGGCCACATCGTCACACGCCCAGACCTCTTCCTGTACCAGTATAAGCCGACATTGACATTTCGATAGCATATAGTGGCCTGTGCAGCCGCGCACCTCTACTCACTGCTCCGGCAACAAGTAGCGAAAGGCCGCTTGCACTGAAAAATGTTCTTTGTATAATATATTTTTAGACCACTTGCAAAGTTCATATACGGCATGCCGTGCAATCGCTCGATTAGCGTCCTTGGCCGGTCGACTGTCCCTATGCGAACGGAGATGCGGTCGCGACATGCCCCTGTGTATCAAATCCATTTATTAGTACCTAAATGGAAGATGCCCAAGTATCGATTAATTATTTATTGGATATCTGAGATGATTACTTAAACTAACAACAAGCAGTTCATATTACAGTCGTAATTAGCGGTGGAATAGTAACAATACGGGCTCGTGACCTTGATCTCGTTTCGAGCGTAAGCTGCGCCACTACCGTCCACCTGTTTGTACTTGGAGCTTAGAAGGAACCGCCCAACAAGTTGGTTCTAGAAAGGTTACTGCTACCTACCAACTATTGGCTTATTCCAATTATTGTAGAACGCATTACATTCAGATCCTGCCACATATAATTAGTGTCACCGGAGTTGACGTTACTTACTGGCAATAAGTGTAGATAAATTTATTTCATGTTAGACATCAAGTTTATTTAGCATTAATAAGAGCAATCTGGTTGAATATTTGCGATCGAAATCTAAGTTTCATAATTGAGTCCCGAGGCGCGTCTGCCCAACGCGCCTTCATTCAACTGCATTCATTGCATCGGCTCTATAATTATTAAAAATAGGTACGGGTATACCTTGCAGGCATAAAGTTGTAAAGCCAGATTAGAATTAGACAAATAAACCAAAATGTCTTCAAAAATAAAACATGACTTTGTTAGTATAATTTAAAAAATATGTACATACATACTTTAATTTTTCAGGCAAACTAAATTACTCTAACCCTATAAAACTCAACGTGTGCGATAATGTTTGTTTGTGGATTTATGCCGAAAATGAAAAGGAGCTTCTAGAAATTCAAATCAATATGTATAGAGGTACTATTAGAAAGGGTAAGACGTACCTATTTTAAGCAAAATGATACATATTATAGAAATATGTGTCTAATGAATTAACACGACAGGCCAATATCGCGAGAAAATGTGGAAAGTGGCATGCTGGTTGTTTGTAACACGCATCTTCTTACATGAACTGTTGTGTGTTAACTTGCTCGGCTCTTACTATAATACATTTCATTCTATCTAGATCTTTTGAGTACGTAGATTTTAGGGATCCCATCCGCACTACAGAACGGCGGCAGTTCCTCAAACCAGGTTGTTCACTTCGATTTATGTTTATACAACAACATAATTTTAAAATACACATAGCTTTATATCTATATCTATACTAATATGACCTATAAAGAGGTAAAATTTGTAAGTTTGGAAGTTTCTATGTAGGCGGTAATCCTTGGAACTGCTGGTCGGATTGCCAAAATTCTTTCACTGATAGATAGCTACAATGTTCCTTGGTGCTATAGGGCATGAAACATCACGCTACGATCAAATGGAGCCGAGCAGCGGGTGAAACCGCGTGAATAGTAAATTATATCCAGCTACCGTCCGCAATGCTTAACAAATACAACCTAAACTTTTCTTAAATCATTCTAGGGGTTAAAAAAATCGAATCAAAATTTTTCACGTAGTTTTAGAGATCTAAGCTTACATAGAGACAGATAGTGGTAAGCAACTTTAGTTTTTTACGTATACAGTGATGTAGCACAGATGTATCTATTAACTGTGTGCTCTCTTATGAAACCTCTTTCGGCAGATGCATGCATTTCTTAATTCTTAGCAATGTTTATTGAATAACCTGCGTCATAGTTCATTATCAAAAACTTATGTTAGTTAGTAGTTAGTAAAACTTTGTTTATTATTACTACATAGTATCTATGTATAAAACACAGTAACTTGCTCTGTCACTAGGATCTGTATGTTTTAGTGTTTAAAACTACGCGATGGATTTTAATGTATCTTTTTTGGGATAATTGTGATTAAAGAAGAATGTATACATCCTTTAAATTATGCGAAGCCGGGGCGGATCGCTTAGTGTACACTTAAATATGCATGTAATATAGATAATCAAATAATTTGATATAAAATTGTTTTTATTATTATATTAAACAAGCAGCTCGCCGCTGCTTCGCACAGGTGTCATCATCTCGCTTACGATGAAAGGGTCCCTATAACCCAACTCTCTCCTCTACTTTTCTACAATTTTCTTTCATAAGAACCTTCTCTTGACAATAACACAAAACAAAAAAATAATCAGTAGAATTGATCCAGGCGTTATTGAGTTATGCGCTTACGAACATATTTTGCGATTCAATTTTATATATATAGATATATTTTATAAATTAATATAATATGTATATTGTACAAACAGGGATAGTGTTATATCAATTATAAAAAAATATTTTGTCAATATTTTGTACCTTGTTTATTTGTTGCTTGACTCTCGTTTAGAACACATAAATTACACTTCTTTGCACCACCCTTAAGGTTATTACGGAATCATATATCATTAAACAAACAATCAATAATTGATGATAATAAACTGGGAAATTATTTAAATATTTATAATTATAGTTTAGCTATATTTTGTAGTCAAAACTACATATAGTATCCGGACAATGTTTACGTTGTGACATAAGAACAAGTCTTAAGAAAAAAAGTGGAAAAACAGTTTTTTATTGTGGTTTATGTATTACTAGCTTCCTCCCGCGGCTTTACTCGCGTGGTATGTTGATAAAAAGTAGAATATGTCCTATTCCGGAGTGTATCCTATGCCTGTGCTAAATTTCATCTAGATACGTGCAGCCGTTTTGGCGTAATTGAGTAACAAACATCCAAACATCGTAACTTTTGCATTTATAATAATAGTAAGAAGTAAGATGAGCCCTGAGGCAAACATATTGGTATCACGAAAGATACAGAAACATACTAACAACAAAATAGACAAAAGAATGACATTCATAGATTAGATAATACGAAAGATCTGCTAAATTTATTGTAAAGTATAGGTACAGTCAATCAATAGTAAACTAGACACTATCTAAGAAGGTTGGTAGCTTCCAAGCATCATTTCTTCTCATCTTTGTCATAAAGGGAAAAATGCTTTTGAGCAAACTAAAAATACACACATGGAACAAATTTTTTGTCGGTTTCGAACTGGCTCTACTAATAACAAATTGGTTTTCGAATAGGTTGTTTGTATAAAAAACTAAACTGGCACAATAAATCATACGGTATTGTTAATCTTAACTGCCTTGTACACCTTTTGCGTACAAAATATTCGCATTAAACGTAGGCGCATATGTATTTAATTTGTAGTGATCCGCCTTCGGAATCCAATCTGCCAGGATTAACAGTTGCATGTTAATCCAAAAAAATATATGTTTTGTTTACATTTTTGTCTTTGAATTCCTTTAAAGAAATCTTGCCAGGATAAGAATACATCATTTATAGAGGAAAAAATATTTTTCTCTCGCCTTAGGTTTAGTAATACGAAGTGTCAGACTCTTACTGACTAAGAACCCCCGATCCTTCTCCTTCTCTGGGCCAGGGCCGCGTATTACTTCGCTTGCACTTGCAACCCCAGCAGTTATCAGTTTGGGACATTTTCTTAAAACTCTAATTTCAGTGAACCAAAATCCATACTTTTCACAGTACCTATTACATGTTTTTAAAATAATTGTCTCTAAATGTTTCTGGCATTTTATAATTATGGTAATTCTTATCGAACCATGTTTGTGTTATGAACTTATGACCGTTGCGAAAATTACGAAATTTGTTGAAATATTTTACATATATGCGTATTCTACCAACTTCCAAAAAGGAGGTTATCAGTTTTGAGTAGTGATATCAGGGCCAATAGGCTGAAGTACTTCATTTAAGTATTTATTTTTTACATTTTATCACCTGAACAGAAAGCGTGAAAAGAAAAGTCATATGTCGCTAGTTTTGGCACAGCCCGACTAATAGACAAGTCTATATTTGTAAACAAAAGTAAGAATGATAAGTCCGAGGTTCAATACAAATTAGTAGGTAATCTACACAGAATTTTGTACTTAGGGCCTCATGAACGGTAAGTTTTCTTTCAACGAATAGGTGTACAGAAAGTTATATAAGCAATAACTTCAAAACTGGGCCGATGCCGTAGTATCTCATTGATAGCAAGTTAACGCCGTAGTGCCGTACGGGAGGCATACGTAGTTGTTGTACTTGACAACTCATGCACAAGCTTGCGCTTACCTACCTACTGTTGCTTAACTATGGACGGTCCTGTTAAATATCATATAATACTCACTCAATGTTAAGCAAATCTAACAAATATATGGTACCATGACATTAAATACAATCATTTACAAATTAAGCCCACGGTGATGTGCAATCACAATCATGCAACGAAAAGTAAAGAGTCGCGCTTAACTGTGGAATTTAAGCAACGTGATCGTGAAGTTGTGCAAATTGAAATAAGAACATATGATTTTGTTATGAAGTTTTGTAAACTTTTACACCATGTAGCGGCAATCGGCTGATGCTAAAGACTTTTTAGTTATGAGTAGGTATCAAATAATAATTTAATAAGCAAACTGACCTGTTTCGTACGGAAGATCTAGACGCGAGGGTGAGATTCCTCTGGGGCAATCGCGGCGCCGACGAGGACGTCGGCGGGGTTTGGGGCGCGGGCGGAGAGGTGCGGGGCAAGCGGCCACCCGCCGCCGCCGCGCCCGCCAGCAACACCACCATCCACCACCTGGACATCACGAGAGCACGATATGCACGAGACGCGCGACTCACGCTTCGAAACCTACTGTCACAACGGCCACTCGCCGACTTACAGCGTCGTCCGCGCACGCACCGACGTTCACTTTTGTTGTGCTTGAGGTAGCGCCCCACTCCGATGAAAGTGGGCTTTCACTAGAGCCCGCGGCCGCACAGCTAGCACTGCGCCAATCGTTGCCCAGCCCTCATCTGTCAACAGAGGAGCACCTACGCTACTACCTGTGCTTCAGATAAATCAATAGAATCAACTGCAGCTAATCGTAAAAATCAAAACATAATGTAGGCTGCCTACGTACACACATAGCACGCGCGATTAAAATTATTTCTTATAATTTTGTTGAGAGTTTTAGTATTTCAGACGTCAGTAGGTCCACTAAGAAAGGGAAATTGGCACATGCTTCGGCAGAAGTTGAAGAGTTGGGACTCTACATATGTTTCTCCGAGTGAGAAAGGTTACTGAAAATATAATTTTCCGGCCGATGATTTTTCCCATATCCGGCCGTTGATAAAACCATCGTTTATACGTATCTACTTGTACATTAAAGTTATAACGTAACAGGTACAATTAAATACAATAGGTATTAAATTAAGACGTTACATTAGTGTTAAGTTATGGTATTGTTATGTGTTTGATTTTATAAAATTACTAGCTGACTCGGCTAATGTTGTTTTGCCGTATAGATTATTTCAATAATAATAATAGGTGGGCAACAACTTAGGGTATGAAAAATTGCCAGTAGCCGATTCTCAGAACGACTGAATATTCATATAAATTTTGGCAGTAATCAGTAAGGCCATATAGGAGTAAAGTAACTAAAAGTTGTAACAAGAGAATATTATATACTTACACTAGCTTCGGCCAGCGGCTTCGCCCGCGTGCTGTGTTTATAAAAAGCAGCCTATAGTAATAGAACAAAATCGAAGTACACATACAATTTGTTATTAATCGTCTCATTTTTATGGGTAAATACCCTATCACTTACTAAGTCTCCGCTATCCGTCCGTCCATAAATAGAATGGTACGGATTTATCTAATAAGTAAGCACCTATTACTTACAAATATTTCATAAAACCTATTATATTGTATTTAATTATATTTTATACCGCGTCGCGTCGAGCTCGGCAACCGTTACACAATTTCAGTGTTCACATGCGACGGCGCGATGGCTTATTATCCAAACTGCTAAGCTATCAGGAGTTACACGTGGTATTGTGAGTTAAGATTAAAAGATAGACATATATTGTAGTAAGCAATATTTTTAAGATAATTTTATGTTAAATGTTTCCGTCACACATAATTTCTATGTAACTTTAACCATTATACTACACACGCGAAGGAAACTTAAAAAAGGGAGTAACTTCTACCGTTTTCCTAATATTTCCCTTCACTGCTCTGCTCCTCTTACTTTTAGCGTGATGAAAAGTATCCAATAACCTGCCCAGGAGTATAAAGAATAATTGTACCAAGTTTTGTTAAAATCCGTCGAGCAGGTAGTTTTTGTTTCTATAAGGAACATACAGACAGTCAGACAAAAATTTTACTGATTGCATTTTTAGCATCAGTATCGATCACTTATGACCCCCTGGTTAACTACCAGGTTTTAAAAATATATTACAAATTAGTGTACAGAATTGATGAATATAGATAAGTGTTAAGTTTATAGTTATATATCAGTGTGTCTATGGTTCTGTTTAAAGTTATGCAGAATTATATTTGATTTAATAGTAGCATTGGCAAAATGATAATTAATTGCTTGTTTTCTTTTTTATTCAATATTAGATATTATTTAATTTAACGTGGAGTTATGTATATTTGACATTGTTTGTTTTATATTAAAACTTGAAAACATACATAACATCTTTAGTAGCCTTTGTCAATGTCGAATGGGTGTAATGAGAAAAATTGACAAGGTGGTCAATAAATTTTTGTAAACAATTTGTATATAGGTAGATACCTACTTACAGCTAGTCTCTAATCTATAATTTTTAATTTGTGGAATCATTATTTTAAGTTTTCTTTCACGCAAATTATATTTTACTAGAGATACTCGTATGTTGGTTCAAAATTGGCAGTACCTACTTCACACCGGGGCATCGCATGTTACTTTATAAGGCGAATGTTCGGCCCTATATGGAATACTGTGCACATCCCTGGGCGGGGGCGCCCCAGTACCACCTTCTCCCTCTGTACCGCAAACAGCGATGAGCCTTTCGAATCGTTGCCTGCACTAATGTCTGTCCGGCTAGACTCTTTGGCACTGCGTACGGATGTAGCCTCGCTATGTGTTCTATATCGCCTATATCACGGGAGTGTTCCAAGGAATCGTTTGGTTTAATACCCGATGCATCTTTTTGCCATCGACCCACGCCCAAACATTGTCATACCCATCTTGTAGGTACCCATCATATAGTTTTTTTGGTTGGGGGAAAATCATTAAATGACTTCTCCCGCCCAGAACCGGGCGGGAGGGAGTGTCAGACTCTTACCTACTGACTAAACAACCGTTGCTAAAGAATCATTTAAGAGACTTGGATTCGTTCTCAGAAACTCACGTGACTTCCAAAATACACATGTCATAAGACTCCTGCGCTTGTGAGGAGCAAATTAGAGACTAGCTCTTTCGTTAGGAATCCTTATTGGTGGAAAAGGTGCAGAAGAAATTTTTGAGATTTTTTTTTTTTACTTGCAGTAAACTAGCGCTTGCCTGCGATCCCACCTGATGGTAACCAGTGATGCAATCGTTGATGGTAAGGCGCACTAGTTTATTAAGAGCCTATTCACTCTAGCCTTGAAGACACCTCTATAAATCATCTCTAGGCTACTATCCATACATGTATCCAAGCAAGTATCTGACTGGATGCTTAGGATATAACATGTTGGATACTAGAAGAGCCTTGAGTCAGATGTACATCATGCTCAAAATCTGCAGAGGTATCTGCTCCCGATTGCACATTGCAAAATGGAAACATTTAAGTCCAATCTGTTAACGACACAGTACCTACTCCTGAAAGCTGTCAAGAACCTCCTGCACTTTATAATGTAGGGTAAAGGTAGGATATATGCACCAATTTTTAAAATGTCCTCCTAATTCTAAAATTTTTTTTTCTTCTTGTTAACCTGTGATTAGTTATTTCAGACCTGTATATAAATACCTTAGCTAAATGCGTCGTTCGAGAGATGCCGACGCTCTTTAGGCTGCTATCCCACTAGGCGTTTTACTAGCATTGAGGTCAACGTCGTGTTTGCTCAGCGTCGACGCCGCGCTGACGCGACATTAACGTGGCGTCTGCGCAACGTCGTAGGCGCGACGTTACGTCGCGTACTGTGGACGTTAATACCTGGCACGCGACGAAGCGGCGTCAACGTCTCGTCAGTGCGGTGTCAACGCTGCGCAAACGCGACGTTGACGTCAACGCTAGTAAAAACGCCTAGTCGGATAGCGGCCTAAAACAAAAGGTTTTCAATCCATGAAAAAAACGTTATTGTAAGGCTGGCAATGTGGCCATTACAATGGTAGGCCAAATTTTTAAATTCGAAATTAAAATAATTTGAATTTCTTTTGATAAATGAAATGAATCACTATTTTGAGACAAATGTGCGTCTACAGTTGAAAAACATTCCACGTTCAGAAACTATAACTTATACGTTCTATTATTCTATCTTATATATCTTTAACGTTTTTGTTTTTCATTTGTTTACTTACTACTATGACTTGAAGACGTCTAAAAAAAGCTTTATTTTCTTAAACTTATTATTGTGGATACTACGCCCACAGAAGCTGCTCAAGAGGTGGAATTGCCTGATTCTGGAGTTAGTCATCGTGTTGTGGCTCGAACATTGCATCTAACCTTTCATCTGTTCATAGTTCAGAGTTTACAACTGCTATCGAGAGACTGGTATGTTTACGCGCCGTCCTGAATCTTCCAGGAATCGGGTCACTTCTGAAAAGAAGGCTGAAGGCTGAAAGTAGACTGCTACCACACAAGCCAGCAAATGGACCGAAATTAACTGCAGAACATCGAAGATAGCGCCTTGATTTTGCACGCGAGCACCTAAATTGGTCATACCTCCAATGGAGCCAAATTCTCTTTTCTGGTGAATGTAAACTCATGCTCTAGCAATGGGCAGCAAGGTAACGACAGAAGCAACAAGGTCTATAGAAGATATGGCGAACGCTTTGCACAATGCTGCATTGAAGAAGACGGTGAGATAGAGCTTTTTTGTGAGTGGAAAATCAAGGAATGTCTTCTGCCGCCATGGGTCGGGCTTGAGAGAATGATTACTAAAAGTGCCCCGTTCCTTCTCCGAGGGCCGAGGCCGCGGTGACTGATTGCGCTTATCCCGCAACCTCGGCACAGAGCTTGCCTTCGCGTTTGGGCCAAGTGTAACTGCTTTGAACATTTGTCATCGGTACGTGGAACAGTGCCTCGAGTGTCAGGACTCTTACCCCCCCCCCCCCCCCCCTTCCTACTCCAGCTGCTGCTCATCATCATCATCAGCATCAGCCCTGTAGAGCCCCGTCTGTGGTGGTTATCCATCGCTCGGGTCTGGTTCTGGTAAGGCGGCGGCGGCGAGCTACCCTGACTGCCGTCCGCAGACCCACGCTTACGGTGGCCGGAGTTCGTCTTTCAATCCCCGACGCCCGAAGTGTGGCCTACTGCGGCGGCTGGGGCGTGAGGAAGACGATAGCTCCCTCGCGCGCTTTGCGAGCAGACTGCTTCACAGAAAGAAGAGACAGCTTCCTAGTTTCTTTCGTTCCACACCATGGCCTCGACTAAGGCCGGGCGCGAGAGCTCGCCACCGCCCTATGCACACTTTATCGGCAACGGGTTTACATTTATGCACGACAACTCCAGCGCCCACAACGCGAGCGTCGCACGTCATTACCTTACCGAAGTCGGATCTCCATAATGAAGTGGCCAGAAAGGAGAGGCCGAACATGAATCCGATTGAACATCTCTGGGATCAACTAAAGGGGCAAATCCGAGCGATCTGATCCTGCCCCAGACTTACTTAACCAGTTGAAAAGGAAAATTGAGGAATAATGGGATAGCATCTCGATAGATGAATAACCGGATAGAAGCGGTGATAAGAGCTCGAAGGAGGGAAGGGGGGCACTAGTTATTAAACGATATTTAATAAAAGTTCATAAGTTTATTTTTTCACATACCTAGGTACGTGTGTTTGTGTGTGTTTCTTTCATTGCCTACGTGCCACAAAATAAAAATGATTCATTAAACACAAATCTATGACAATTTCATTATCATTATAATTAATAAAAATAAAATTTGAATACCTACCTCATAAAACTCCCGAATACGCGACATTAAATCATCGCATCGCAAATAATAATAAAAACAGATAATCCTTTGTGATGTGTTTAGTTTTTTTGATGAGAAGTATATTTTTTGTGGAATCTGTAGTCCAATATGTGGAAGATACGACATGCATACATTTTTGGATTTTTACACTATTTATCTAAGGTTCTGTGTATCTAAGTATATTTCGAATATTGTACGAACAACAACGAAATAAAAAAGATCGAGTGAAAATTTTAATCTTTAATAAGAATAACTTTTATTAGACTTTACATAAACAAAAATAAGACACGTTGACAAAGATAAATTTATCCCGTAGGCATGTAATTGAAAATATAATATCAATGTTTACACCTGTTCAACTTGTTAAGGCTTGGGGCACTTCGTCTTCCTCAAATAACATTTACCAGATGGTACAGGCACTACAGTCACACCTTGAGGGAACACTTTAGATATTTGATCCTCTGGGACAGTAGGCAGCACCATGCAGTCTTCACCCATCTGCAAACCATAAACAAAATAATGTTATAAAGATTGTCGTTATTCGTTTTCATACTCCTAGTTAGTATGTGTCAGTTATGTACCATGTTTAGCCTATCAGTTTATATTTTCACAATAAACTTACTAACTTGGTTGTGTTAGTGGATACCGATCCACCAGAGACATAGCTGGTGTTATACTAGAGGAAATAAGTAGGACGCACACACACCACCCAAAAAATCTCACTTCAACAATGCTCTTTACATGAAAGACTAATTAATGGGAGTACAAATTACTAAATAAGTATAATAAAACAAATTAGGTTATAGCAAAATAGGTAGTAGCTAGGACCACACGGGTTAGAAAGTAGGAACCCAATTGATAATGTTCTTGTTCTCGATGGAATCCCTTTAAAAAACAGCCTCAATGGAGGTGGACGTGGCAGAGCCCCGATATTTTGATTGTATAATACTTTTTTTTTCTTTCCTATACTGGGTTTTAGTCTAACACCCGGTTTCTGAAAGGCTTTTCAACGCTAAAATTAACAAATCTCCTGTTAAATCTCTTGCTTGTCAAGTCATCTGATTGGTTGTTGATAATCACCAATCAGATGACTTGACAAGTGATTAAATTGATTTTAACATTGATCGGCCTTTCGGAAACCGGGGTTTAAACATTCAGAGTTAAAACCGGAGAACTGGTTTACTGCAATGCAAACCACGAATATTGACAGACGACTCTTTGGTCAGTGATCCTCCGGAATGAGAGGATTAAATGTAGCGGACACAAAATACCCTCAAGAGGACCAAGCTTTTGGGATCTTCTGCAGCTAATCGAGATGCGAGAACTTAGCATTCCCTCCGTACAAAAAGATATCCAAGCAATTCAGTATTTATGGTGGTAACTTCGAATATTTTATTGTTGAAAAAAGGATTTACAGTTAGAAAGGTATTAAAACACAACCATTTAATAAATAGTAATGTACTAGAATTTGTCAAATCTCTCAATGTCCATCTTGACTTGACCACTTCCCATGATAAGTTAATGCAAATTATTATGTATCCCAATTCCCAATACACCATTACACAATGTCTTCAGTAAACGAACTTTCCTCATTGTACAAGATCACATCAGTAGTGTCGAAGGAAACATACATGGCCCGTTTCAATTATGATAAAAGAAAAAAGACAATGCTTAATTCTTAGGCAAGCATCAGGACTGTCTGCATTTGGACAGAAGGCTGAGAATATACAAAGCCTTCCCCACACCAATGGCATCCAGTTCTGGTGTAGAGCCAGCAACAATAAGAGTACCATCATACCATACTATACTATACTAGAAAGGTTTCTATATTCAATAAGATTGAACTGAAAACGTTATATACCTTCCAATCCACCGGTGTAGCAACTTTAGCGGTGTCCGTCAGCTGCAAAGAATCCAGGACGCGGAGTATCTCACTGAAATGGAGAGAATAAAATCTTACTGAATTGAAACAATGTTAACAACATAGTTGTACAAACTAGTAATACGATTAGGTAAGGTTTAAAATATTAAATAGTAGCGACCCGCCTGATACCCACGGGCACATTTAGGTACAAATTTCTCCACTATCTACCTAAGTAGTTATAAGACATTAATTAATAAGTCTTCGGCATAAGTATGCCTAGTATGTAATTAACTTTATTTAATTTTCATTTGCACAAAAGGTACTTCTTTAGAGGTTTTTATTAAATAGACTGACACCCGGTTTCTGAAAGGCTTGTCAATGCTAAAATTAACTAATCTCCTATAATTCAGTCAACCAAACAGATGACTTGACAATAAGAGATTTAATTGATTTTAACATTGATCGGCCTTTCAAAGACCCGGTGTGACTGACTAACCGTGTAACCCGTCATTGCTTTGCAAGAGAATTGTATTATCCGAAATTTCCCCCGTGGCCTCACTCTTTCTGCCTTTACTGTTAATAGTGATCACAATAAAAAGTTCAGACTGGCGCTGGCAAAATAACATTTGTGTTTTGCTTTATAGAAAAACCTTTTTTTCGTGAGATATATAAATTAAAATAAATACATAATGTTTTTAATTTGATTAAGAAAATTAATAGAAAGGAATGGTTATCTCAGAATAATTAAACAGATTTGTGCTGAAAGTTAAAGGGTACGAAAATTCTGACCATGATTCGTACCGTATATTATAAAAGCGAAAGTAACTGTCTGTCTGTCTTTTCTTCAGGCCTAAACCAATTTGTGTGAAATTCGGTACAGACCTAGTTTGGAACTCGAGAAAGGACATAAGATAGTTTTTAAACCGAAAATTTGCAGGAAGTCACTATTTCACGCGAATGAAGTCGCGGACAAAAGCTAGTAATTTATATGAAACAGTTGCTGCGAAAGGGCTGCCTATTTCCGATTATTGGCGGTGCATTGTCCAATTTATTTTAATTTCAACTAACATAATTATTGAACACAGTAAGCAATACTTATTTTTACCTTAGATTTCTTTAAATATTTTTACCTTTATTACCTACAAAACCGACGGTTTTAAAGTTCCTGAAACACGTTTCTAATCAAACACATTTTTATCGTAATAATTTAAGTACTTATGCGAGTTTTCAAACCCTCCCAAACACCTATTTGAAATATTTTTATTAAAATATACCCCCCTAATCTTAAAATATCACTTATTTTTACAACCGTCAAATCTTTACCGATATAGCTTCAAAATTGACACACGGAGTTTCATATTCCCCTCCCCACTGCCTTGTTTTACAATCTCTTAAAACGATAATTCCACGTTTTATATCATATATTATTTATCGTTTTATACCCAATAGTCAAATTTCCATTTGTATCGATCTGGTTCAAAAATCTTCCCATAGAGGTCAATTTACAAAAAACCTTTGTTATTACTTGGTTTACTTATAGTGTAAAAAAGGATTGGAGATGGAGTCATATCAGGCCATCTACAGTTCTATCATTCTGCTATTGGACAATAATAATCGGCGACTGTTTGTTGAATTACCGTCTGAGGAATGAAACATATTGACAAAATGACTTGACACCAAGTATAAACTTTTGAAAGAGTGACACTTGATTAAATATTGTTACAGTTGGTTTTATTTCCGCTTAGTCATTATACATTGTGTTTGCATGAGGCCTTCCTTATATTTTCTTAAATGATTTCAATTTTAATTCATCAACTACCCCAAGCAAACGCGCGCTCGGGCCCTTATTGTTCTGCTATTGTGTCTCACATTGCCACGATTGAAAGGTTAATAGTCAGAAAGAAAAGAAACTTTATAATCACGATTTATACTATCTTAGGTACCATATCAGTTATTATTCGCCTTACTTATTTTCCTCAGTCTTTTGAGAAAGCAGAGCTTGTGCATTTTATCATTATTTAATATGGTGAGGCTACGATCTGAATGCATATTATTCATAACTACTCCGCGAAGCAACAGTAATCGCTTCTTCGTCATTGAAGTGTCGGTTACCCAGCGGAAAGCTTTAGAACGCCACTACACTACTTTGATTCCACATTGTTACTAGACCTACTAGAAAGGTTTCCAAGCGGGCGAAGCCGCACGAAGGTGGACGGAAAATTATTATACCTATGTAACATGAGTATGACTTGCACTTACTCGAAGTTTCGGCCAGTAGTCGCTGGATAAAGGAACGAAAGCCGGAACTTTTTGAGAGGATCGATAATGAAAACAGCGCGTGCGGTGAGCGGCAATCCCGCACTATCTAGTTCATCCTTATCCACCATGCAGAGCATTTTTGCGATCTCCCTGTTTTTATCCTCTATAATAGGATAGGGGAACTTCTCATCTTCATTGCATCCTATAAATTATTATTATAAAAATAATAATAAAAAATCCGCGAGAAAGCTTTCTCCGCTATGGTTAAGTCTACAAAAACATATAATATGGGGGAAAGTAGAAAAAAATGATACTTCTAAGGTCCGACCGATTCCTATTTCAGTTTTTGCAAAGGTCTATCAATGGACCATTTTGTACAGGCCGTGTCTGAAAAGGTCCTCAAATGATACCCGGATCATTTTAAACCTTCAATATAGGAGAATTTAGACACATTTTTGTTTATTCTTCTCTAGCAATGTTTTTGTTAAGTCAATCTCTACTACTAATGTTTTCAAGCTTAAGAGTTTGTCGTTTGAACCCGCTAATCTCCGCAACTTCTGGTGTAAAGTTAACAAATTATTTTTATGTTAACAAGGAAGGCTAGGCTACTACTAAAGGCTTAGAATTGCCATTATTTTTAATTAATAATATCACTACTTGTACATGTAGGTAACTTTGGCATAAGAGTAAGTTATTATTCATTAAGATTCATTTACATGATACAATATGAATTAGAACATGCATCATTTTATTAGCTACACAGCTAGGCTCTTTTTGGTCGTAGTGTGATATTTGAACGCTCTACTAGTGGCACAAAACAAATTTTCACAGATGCAATGCTGATACTAAATATCTCCACTTTGTACTGTATGTTATTAGGTATACATATAAACATTCCCCTTCAATCACTCTATTAAAAGAAATTGTATGAAAATCTGTCATGTAGTTTTAAAGATTTAAGCATTAATAGGAATATAATGACAATAATGTTTTATACTATGTAGTGATCTTTCTTCAATAAATATAGATATTCTCCATGCCAATGTACCCAACATAAAAATTTACCGGTTTGATCCAGTAGTTACTGAGATAAACACTGTCAAACAAACAAACTCCTTTATAAAATTACATAATAAATTATAAATTAGCCGTAATAAGATTGTTTTAACCATTTTCACACATAGCGGTAATTGCCCTGGGTAATATTGGATTGTCCTTTTGCATAATGGTGGCATGATGAGAAGAGGCCTACTAGCTACATTGTAAAAGCTAGTAAGCATTATGTTGAAATCGATATTGATTTATTGTACTCTGTAATAATTTAAATTAGTATTAGTAGTTCTTTTTATTACAGTATATTACCTGCATAAGCTTGAATGTCTTTACACCAATCTTCATGAGACTGGATACTGTCACAGGACAATCCAATCACTTTGGTATTACGCTTCTTGAATTCCGGCATGAGAGTCAAAACTCGAGCAAGCTCTGTAGTACACACAGGAGTAAAGTCTGATGGGTGTGAGAACAGGATGCCCCATCTGCAATTGAAACAAAGTTGATATAAGTAAGTTTATATAGGTAGGATTATGAAAAATCATAAAAAAGTGACTTAAAATTCAATTTAATTAATGAATGTAACATCAAACTTGACCACACACATTCAAATGATTTATCCACATCATAACTTCTATATTTAAATATCTTTTGATAAAAACCTATAATACTTCCCTTTTTCTATAATAAAAATACTTGCTAAGTTTGACCCTAAAGGGTAACTTTTATCAACACCCTTTAACCAATAATAACCCAGAACAAAACATTACTTTTTCATTGGTTAGGATAACTAAATTGGTCCAAACAATAACTAACTTACTATACCAAATTTATTTGTGCAGTACATTAGAATAAGCCTGGTGACTATTATACATACAATAAAATGACTTAGTGCTTAAATTAGCAGTAAATATATTTCTACCAAGTTTACTTTTAACATGAAGATCATACAATACATGTAGATGTTGCGAAGAATTTTTCTTCGCAACATCTACATGTATTGTAAGCTGTATGTGTGATGTAGTACAGCTAAATAATGAACACAGAACAGAACAGAGCGGGGTTAGCGCAGTAGCTACATTAATTAGGAAAAAAATATAAGGAGTGAAAACCACTTACGAGTCTCCAAGATATTCATGAAAATCTATCTCGCCGGCGGTCGTGTTAGCGGTGAAATTAGGGAAAGTATCGCCTAACAACAACATTTTAAGGTTAGGAAAGTACCACACACTGAATTACTTTAAAACAGACACGGCAAAAGATTCCGCTTTTCAAATTTTCGCTTGATTAATCTAACAAAACCACAAGACAATACGAATTTCTAATTTTATTTATTTTGACAAAATAATTATTTCAAACAATTTCAAACGAAAATGTATTCCAAATTTGAAGATGGTTTTATTTCCCGCCAAGAAACCCACTACAAACAAGTAACAACAGCCAGTGTTCTGCACAAGCAAGGAACAAAAATGTTCCGTGTTAACTGGTGCACAGATTAAATATTACTGACAGCTGTTATTGCTTGTATTTGTTTGCGTTTCATATTACAACGAAACGTAAGGTTTGTATGACTTCTTAACTCGACTAACAAACCATTTCTACAATATTAGTTTAATGTATAAGCTGATTATATCAATCAATTGATTGAAAAAATCGCTGCTTTAAATAATAAATTACTGACATATAAACTAGGTTCTAGACTTCTTGCATACTAATTAGAAAAAATCACCGCATATTATGTTATCATAATTAAACAAGGAAATGAATACCTATGTCAAAGGATTGCAAGGACTATGCCCTACATATCGGTACAGAGATATTTATTGCTTTAAATCACCCAAATGCTGAAGTTTAGAGCGTCCCATGAACATAAATAACTGTCTTTTATCAAGCAACGAATTAAATCAGAAGATTAGTTCCATTCGACACTCACAGAGCAGAGAGAGTTTAGCAACAAGATTATGGCAAAAACAGTTACGTTATGCGCATCGCCAGATTCTATTTAATTTGGTTTGGACTGGATAACAGTAAATGCTGCATTGAGAAAAGAGTTGATTTCCTGCTTTTAATACAATAACTATTATAAGACATTTTGTATTGAATATTCCAACAATCATTTCTAATATTTGAAAGTGACATATCCAAATTTGTATAAAATATAGTCATCAATTTGTATAAATATCCGATAATAAAAAAGGATAAAAACGACTTTAATAAGATAAGTATTCATCGATAATTTATGCTTCGTCCATCACTACATATACACAATCCTACTGATAAATATAAATATAATCGACTAAAACACTATTTAGTAACTTCCAATCATAATGGTTAACTGGTACATCACTATGCAACCAATCAATGGCGTCACCGTCAATGACCCAGCCCGCAACGTATAGTTTGTAGTTTTGGACACATTTGTATCGAGATATAATTGATATTTTTAATCTGAAATTGTTACTTCTTCATACGGTAAGTAAAATATATTTAAAAGTCTTTGCATAATGTTATTAACGTGATGGTTTGTTTCTTCTTTCTTGTGATGAACTCTACACAAAATGGACGTCAAAGGTATTGTGACGTGATTATGTAAAAATACTTATCAATTTTGGATATTAAGGCGCCGGTATGTAGATTAATTAATTAATATTGATTCTGATCAATTCCGCTGTGTCTGCGGTCATTATGATCAACTGTATGTGTACGTTTATTTTGAACAACAGTCATGACGGAAACGAACAGGAAGGCATGTCAATGAGTGGCGGCGCATAGGCAACCACATACCTAACGTGCGATATCGATGCAACTAGAGAGGTCTTTGTTTTGGGCATCCAGAAATTCAAACTTTTATTTACATGACTCTTCGAGGTCAATGCTCTATATAGTGAATGTGGAATGTACTTCTATTTGTCACACTAATGCTTATTTTTAATTTGCTATGCGAGTTATTCACCTACATTTTAACACACCTACACTTACTAGTTAGATGCTAAATTGTCGTGTGGGATTTTTGTGTTATTATCAAATGTATTTAGACATTTTTGTATTTTTATTTGTTTACAGTTATTTAGGAAGATTAAATAAATAGTTTTGTTATTTCTTCATACCTAAAATTAAATTAAATTGTTATTCAAACTATTTAAATACTCAACCATGTCATTAGCAATGAAAGTTGATCAATAATTGTTATTAGTTAAACAATGACTATTTATAATTTACCAATTCTAATGTATTACTACATTATTGTTATGAAGTGAAATCATTCTTGTGACACCACTAGCAGTTTGATGATGCTACTGCGAATGTTCATTGTTTTATGTTCTGCTACAGCCACATTATTTTAGCGAACTGTGATTGTATTGAATGAGTTTAACACAAGAACAAAAGAGATATAATAAATTCCATATAAGATAATTGTAGAACCATTAAATACAAATAGTTATTAATTATTCCAAAAATTAAAACAATAACAAAACAATCAATATGTGTTATTAGTCATATTTTATGTAGCCATAGGTTACATACATCAAGATTTAAATGAATTATTCTTAACACCTTAATAGGTACCTCACTTTTAATACATGCAGAAACAATTGTCATATTGTTGGATGCCACAAACAACAAATTTCTAACCTACCAGTATTCAAAATGCTCCTCGATTTCTCTGGGATTAAATTCTGACTTGGTGACAATTTGCAAGTTTTGTTTTTATACAAAAAAAAAGAAAAAAGAAAAAATATAAGTTATAAGTTATCCATAACAAATACATGTACCTATATACAGTCTAGGTTACAAACCTCCTTTTTGAAATTAATTAATAAACTAAAAAATATTTTGTTAATTAGGTAGACGTTTTTTAGAGTATTACAATTAAATGTTAACACTTTGTCTATTAAATTCAAGAAAAGTTTATTGTTTATGTAGTATATTACATATTATGTTATCATAGCTGTGCTTGTCTTATCAATTGAATATTTTTGTGATGAAATGAAATTGCGTGAAGCAAGGTTAGGTGAAGCTATTCATTGTTCAAATAATGTTATTATAGATTAGACAAGGAACAAAGTTTAGCTTTAAGTCTTTCTGGAAATATTACAGGATTTTTGACAGAATTATTATTTAGGCAAGGTTAGTTCAATTTAACTGAATCACATTTTATCACTGATCAATATTAACTTGACAATATTTTAGATCATTTGTTTTAGCTAACAATCAGTTAGTTTAATTTTGATCTTGAATCTTGAATCACCCTATACTTGAAATTTTATTTCTTGCATATGGTCCAAAATGCATAATCCAGTTACTGCAATGTTAATAAATAAACTTACAATGTTTTTTTTATTATAGTTGTCAATTCTTGTTTTTGTCTATTGTTTTATACTACACACATTATTGGTACTATAAAATAATTTGAAATTAGATTGGTTTTTTCTAATATAAAATGCAAGGAGTTATTCTAAATTAATCTTTAATATACATATTTTATTGTGTTTGTTGAGTAAGTTTGTGGGGTGTAATAAGGAAATAATTTCAGTCCCTGTTGTACACAGCATAGAATAAGCGAGGAATAGACCCAGTGTTTACTTCTAAGTCATAAACATATATTGCACTTTACCTACCTTATTGTTATGATATGATATAATACAGGAATAATAGGTACCAATTGGCTCTGCAGCTACCTCTAAATTGGTATTGTTTAACAATAGGCCACCTCAAATTGCATCATGCGAACCACAGATGCTAGTTACATTGTTTTGAATTGTTCTACTTGTATATTTGAACTGCTCATGCAATTTCATTAATAGAATTAAAATATTAGATTCTAATAGATAACCTCATAACATCCTTTGTTTTGTTCCAGATCTATTCTTGAAGGCTGCTATGATCAAAGAATTACATCTATTTGGGAGTAAGAGCAAGTAAACTTTTTACCACAGATATCAGTTACTAGTTACCAATTGTTAGCCAACATGCAGACAATTAAATGTGTAGTAGTGGGTGATGGTGCTGTTGGTAAAACATGCCTACTTATAAGCTACACAACCAACAAGTTCCCATCTGAGTATGTGCCCACTGTGTTTGATAACTATGCTGTCACAGTCATGATAGGAGGAGAGCCATACACATTGGGTCTCTTTGATACTGCAGGTAAATATTGTTTCCACTTATTTATTTACTTACTACCTAGTTATGAAGCTGTCTCAGTAACACCACGGGGTCTAGAATTGGATAAAGCTCACTCATATGACATTAAATTGTATCATAACAAATGCCTACTGAAAGTTTTCTTAACATTAACATTATCACACATTAACATTATCTCACACTAAAAAGTCTGGTAAATAAGGGGTATATATATTGTACATGTAGTATTTAAAAAGATGATCATAAGTACTGCTTCCTATCGTCCATGTATTCATATAAATAACATTATTAATTTTGTTAACAGGCCAGGAAGATTATGACAGGCTGCGGCCGCTAAGTTATCCACAGACAGATGTTTTCCTTGTTTGCTTCAGTGTAGTAAGCCCCAGTTCATTTGAAAACGTCAAGGAAAAAGTAAGTTTTATGCATAGCAAAGCACATGCCATCATTATGTATTTAACATAAAATAAAATAAATTAAGTAATTGAACTGTTTATAATGTGTGGTGGTACTTATTTCCAGTGGGTTCCAGAAATTACTCATCATCAACAAAAGACACCTTTCCTCCTTGTGGGCACTCAGATAGACTTGCGAGATGACGCAGCCACAATGGAGAAGCTGGCTAAGATCAAACAAAAGCCTGTCTCTTTGGAACAAGGCGAAAAACTAGCTAAGGAACTCAAGGCTGTCAAATACGTCGAGTGTTCAGCGCTCACACAGGTATTAATAAAACTGTAGTTATGTTATGGATTCATAAATAATTTTATTATTTTATTTTTGCAATGTGTTTATGCGGCGCTACATCTAACTCGCTTAATGTTTTAAATTTGTCATTAATGACATCATTGTCAATCCTTTATAGACAAAGTAAGCCACATTGTTTTATAAATTAAGACATTTTCCTGTTTAAAATTACTTTGCGATTGATGTCATAATATTGTCATGATAGCAGGGATTGTTAACCATAATAGTTTTGGATTGGTGTTTAAATTTACCTTTGAATGAAGGTAAATATACCTGAACCAGTATTGCAACAGTTTCAAGTATCATGAAACAGTTACTGTGTTATTAAACTTTTCACTTACTTCTGTTTACATTTAGTGACAGCTATAATATTTTTAGTGTAGTAATTAAATTGCTTATAAATGACATTTTAAATTTTCAGAAAGGATTGAAGAATGTTTTCGATGAGGCCATATTAGCAGCACTGGAGCCTCCAGAACCCGCCAGGAAAAAGAAATGTGTTCTGTTGTAAGTTGTGTTGGGCTTGTCACAACTCCGCCCCACCAGCAAGACGCGAGCGCCACGAGCGCAATGCGACTGTGTCCCCATAACGCGTACATTTTACTATTTTACCATATAACATTATTCATAACTAAATGGTTTTTGAACAATTAATAATTAACTTTTATTTATGATGATATAACGATTATTTATTAAGTCTTTCCGGGATATATTCATATATTTTAGTGGGTTAAATGAATGAGAACGCGTCGCTACTACATTAAATTATAACATTTATTAAAATTTAAATATAAAAAATTAAATATATAAAAAAATACGTCACTATCACAGACTCACGATAAGTTGTGTTCTGGGTTTTTTAAATGAATGAATGACAAATTATTCACAGGATAAAAAAACTGAATTTGAATTACTTTGCTTGTACCTTGTATAAGTATAAGCTATGCTACACAGCGTGTGCGAAAAACTTATAATATAACTTTGCCTTAGCAGAAATAAATTAGCAAACAAAATGTCACATATTAATGTTTTAGCATGTGTTTTATCTAAAAGTCAATGGGATCTATTATATTTCCCCTTTTAGTTACAATCATAATAAATTTATTCTACAGATTTGTCTATAACTTGAATGATCCGATTTTAATCGTTGAAAACTCAAGTGTAAGTAATGCTTACGCCTGCTATACCCAAATACTAAAGGAAACACAACGTATCGTCGCCGTAAATATTTTATATTTACGGTACATGACATCATAGTATAAGGCTATAGTTAATTATTTTCCCTGATTAATGGGAATAAGGTCATCCGTCGCTAATAAAGTAGTTTAATAATTTCAAAAAACTTTGATGGGTCCTTATATGTGGATACAGTATTTTTTATTTATGTTGACCACCCTATAGTTTGACTGATAAAAAGAAAATGTACTCTTAACAATAACTTTGTAGCGTAAACATAATGATATTGATCACAAAAACGAAATTGTCTATGCTGGCTGTGTAAAGTCAGAATCAATGAAGCAACTTCATGCACAATATTTTGCTAAGCACAGTGCGCCTATGTATTTTTATAAGTATTACTGGATAACATACTAATGTCTATTATATTGGAATGAATGTAATACCCGTCGCGTTAGACGGTGTCAAAATTTGTGTTTTATATTATTTCAATGTGTTCTTTAGAAACTATTTATAGTGTTACAATTAAGTTGATATAAAACACTTAGAATTTCAATAAACACCAAGCTACTACGTAATTTATTAACATTTTATTATATTAAAAAAGCAGGAAAATTTTAACTGTTTGTGATTTAAAACGATAAATTGAAATGTTTGTGATGCTAAACAGAGTATAAATAATATAATTATTTTAAATTGAGTCATGCAATATGAGTTTGGACTGATAATTACATAAATTCATCATTCCATGAAATATTTTTGCATTTATTCAACACGAAAGATATTCGGAGATAAACAATAATAATAAGCCGGCACGAAAATTGTGACATGTATTAATATATTGATATTGCGCCTAATAAAACGATCTAACGTCAAGAGGTGCATATGACTATTATATTCTGCACGTAATAATGTTTCCGGCAAATATATGCATCGCAATCGTTCAGTGGTTTGGTGAAATGCTTTGACACCGAATCAAATACGAAACACGTAAAATGCTAGTTTTTTCAAGCAACAATTTAGGTAATTACCGCGATAATAATATTAATTTGCAATGATTTAAAATTTATTTAATGGGTGCAATCTAAGATTTTATAATAATATTAATTATTAACATCATTTAATGACTCGGGGCTAAATATATCAACTACAATTATATACATGTACTCAACATTATAACTACATTTTTATGTATATATAAGCTACTGTATACATTTTTACGCATTGAGAAAGGTAACAAGTTTTCTGATTCTAATATTTATTTAATGTTCTTTGTAATATGCAAGAACGACGATTTTTTGTATGTTTATGCATTATCAGTGCAGTTATATTATGTTCTTTGTGTCAAGAAGTAGATATAGGTGTATATGTAATAAATATATAATGAGATTAAATTATAAAAAGTTTTATTTTATTACTACTCCAGATTTTTTCTGTACTTGAGAACATTGAAATTGATCTTGGTTTAACTTCCTAACCTTATTTTCAAAGTATGCTGCAGCAGCTTAAGTTGCCTTTAATTGGTAGCTTGTTTTGGTTTTGTTTTATTACATCTTTCATGTGTGAGGCAATATCAATCCCGTCGATTTGGCCCATTAGTGCTGGGCTGCCAACCTAATCAAATTTTATTGGGTTAAGAGACTCAGAAGAGGAGTGAATAGATACTAGGAAAATTATTACTATATTACAAGTTTTGACTGCACGGTTAGTGCGGTGGCTGGGCAACTGGCTGCTGTGCAACGTGTCGCGGGATCGATTCCCGCACGGAACAACTCTGTCTGATCCACAAATCGTTGTTCCGGGTCTGAGTGGCTTGTGTATGTTATGTTTGTAACCGCACCCACGACATAAGAGAAAACACTAGGATGAGGCAAAGTTTATTTGGCCAATAATCCTGATATTGTGGTGGTGGACCGAAAGAAGAGGCGTGCAATGATTGTTGACATAGCCGTCCCACATGACGAGAACCTTGTGAAAGCCGAGAAAGATAAACTGATCAAGTATATCGACTTGGCACGCGAGGCTGTCGACATGTGGGGAGTGGATTCAGCTATCATTGTACCGATAGTCGTGTCAGCCAAGAGCCTCGACCAACATCTTCGGAGGCTCTCGTTAGGTGGCTGGATTAAGGGCTTGATTCAGAAAGTGGTTCTCCTGGACACGGCTCGTATTGTCAGGTTCCTTTCTCTGGAGCCCTGACCGGTAGCTTGGACCCTGTTCCCGATACCGGTGAGACACTATTTTTTATATTTTTAAATGTTTTTTTTTAGAAATATTTAAAAATGTAATTTATATGTTTATATGCTGAATAAAAAAAAATATACGCCAACATCTATACAACCTGTGTATACAACCCTTCCCTTTTTAATCGACTTCCAAAAAGGAGGATGGTTCTCAATTCGACCGTATATTTATTTATTTATTTATATATTCTTTATTGTACACAACATTAAAATTTAACACAAAGAGCAGGCTAACAACCACAGAGTATATATGTTTTTTTTTATGTTTTTTCGCCGATATCTCCGTTATTTATGAACCGATTTTGATTCCATGATAAGGAAATCAGGATCTGATGATGGAAGACCAGAAAAATCGAGGGGAACTTTCAATAATTGTAGAGGCGAGTGGTGCCTATGCATGTGGTTTTAGTAGGCTTTTGACAACGCTACAACTTGCCAATGTTCGAACTCGACCTGATGGTGGAGCCGGAAGACAGTCGAGTGATCTCCTTGACTATTTGGAGTACCTAGTTGCCTTGTGTTTGGGCTTGAATGATTTTTTTTTACTTGCTATAAACTAGTGCTTGAGTGCAATCCCACCTGATGGTAAGCAGTGACGCAATCGTTGATGGTAAGGCGCACTAGTTTATTAAGAGCCTATTCACTCTAGCCTTGAAGACTCCTAAATTATATTCGGACGGAAAGACTGCAGCCGGCAAACTTTTTTTTTTTTATGTAATAGTTCGGCAAACGAGCAGACGGATTACCTGATGGTAAGCAATCAGCGCCGCCCATGGACACTCGCAACGGAGGAGTTACGAGTGCGTTGCCGACCTTTTAGGGATTAGGGATTTGGAGATTTAGGGATTGGGGGAGGGGAAGGATTGGGCCTCCGGTAACCTCACTCACACGGCGAAACACAACGCTGTGGTTGTTTCACGCCGGTTTTCTGTGAGGCCGTGGTATCACTCCTGTCGAGCCGACCCATTCGTGCCCAAGCATGGCTCTCCCACACTTATATCCCATAGTAAACTGTTCCAATCCCTCGATGTACGCGGTATAAATGACGAGGCAAAACGTTAAGTCCGGGCCGCAGGTGTCTAAACAACATAAGGGTGGATATTTGCCGGACGCCTGGATGTCCGAAGGTGAAATTGGGATGGCGGAATCAAATCGTGCAATTCCTGCGCACACTTTCCAAAATGCATCCTGTAGAAAACCGCATTGGTGAGCACTTTGCACCAAGATTGGTCGTGACTTTCAATAAGGGTCTGATGATGAGAACGATGGACAGCTAAGGGAACTCCTGAACGGTTTACAGTAACTAAGTACGTCGTGTTTGGACTTAATTCATTTATATCGATGAAAACTTTGCACCTTTATGGATTACAATAAAGTTATGCAGTAAATTGTGATGCCAGAAGACCGTCGTGGGATCTCCTTGACTATTTGGAGTAATTATAATGTGTTTGGACTTTATTCATTTATATTGATGAGAACTTTGCACCTATATGGATTATGTATATAATGAAGGTCTGCAGTATACCAACCAGGTGATGGAAGTCATTGACATTCGAGGGAATTCCTCAACGATTTACGGCACTGAAAGCTGACTAACTCAGGACATTATCGTGATTTTTTTCGATCTCAAGTAGCCGTCGTCTTCTCTTTTGAGAAGCATCCTAGCTTTCTCTGCCTATAACTTAACAACTTTTTAATAAAAAAAATCGACTTCAAAATGTAAACTAAAAATCAAAAAATAAATTTACTTTGCTTAAAGTAATACACGTTTTCATTTAGTTAAATAGAAAAATATATTTAATAACTAAGTATTTTAGAATGAAGTCGGTGCCAAGTAAATGCTGCATACCAAACTAGCAAGAGGTGGGAAAGAGGAGTACGGAAACAATCTTACGATGAGACGAAAAACTGAGAACTCATTGGTCATTGTTGGCTATGGTTCCAATGCTAAGAGATTTATTGATTTATTTTTTATGGAATTGTAGGCAATCGGACCTCACCTAATGGTAAGTGATCAGCGCCGCCCACGGAGACCCGCAACACCGGAGGAGACAAGGGCGCGTCGCCAGTCTTTTAAAAAAGAATAGCTAACGCTTGTTTCTTGAAAGTTTGAAGGTCGTGTCAGTTCGGAAATACCGTCCCTGAGAATCCAACCGGACTGAGACATCATGGCAGTCTACGATTCGTACGGCTTGTCGCTGAATGCAGAGGTAAAAGCTGGTACCGAGGCGCCTGATATTTGTCTACAAAACTGATTTTGTCATGATTTATTTGAACTATGGATAAATTTTGATATTCATGAATGGGCTAGTTAAAAATAATTTATCCAGCCAGTGTTTTAATCGATAATTAAGTACTCATCTGCACATAGATTTGAAGTAAAGCTGATGTTTCATTGTTCTAGGATTGATATTATTTTGACAACTTTGACGTAATGATTTTTTAGTGCTTTTACTATTATAACTCCCTTTTTATATTTATTAATCAGTCGTTCTGTTTATTTTAAAATAAGCACAAAGCATCCAAGTAGTGTGCTATGAAAATTTCAAGTTACTATGGGCGACGGTTTAAAGTTATCTAAAGGTTGGTCCGTATTATATACTTCTAACGTGGTGAGAAGAGTTTGAAATAGCGAATATTTGGACTTTAGGATTACCTATAACTGAATGCACGACTGGAAATCCTACTAGATGTGTAACACCGTAATGGACAACGAATAACTAGCGGAGCATTACGGAAATACACTTTATAAATTATGTAATCATTGGATTGACAATAATGCGAACGAAACATAATTACGTTTTAAATTCCTGGCGTACCCTTCAAGTTTTAAAATTCAAGATTTGCGAAGGCTATACTATTCTTAGGTAAATTGAGACACTGATTTGCAGATAAGCGTCATAGGAGCTCCAGCAGTCTGGCTGGAGCCGTGTTAGAGGGAACACGTTCCGAACGCAAATTGGACATGAATGGTACGTTTCTAGCTCATTTGATGCATACCTACACCTATCTCACCTACAGAGTGTAAGTATTTTAGGAACTGCTACAAACATTTAGAGATTGAACAAAAATCAACCTGCTATTTACTTAATTTTGGGGCCAATTCAAAAGTTTTCAATATCTTCTCGTGGACTTATGAGGTACCTACCTGTTAATAAGTTTTGGTATCAAGACAAACAGACGATCAACGTAATCTTTTTATCTGACATCCCAGACTGAAAAGTGGAAACTTGTTTTTATATTACTTTTTGTATACTGTATTAATAGGACTTACCGGCCTCCGAAAATCGCTGCAACTCATGTAGGTAGGTACATAAGGTAGATAACAGTAGATACAGCCATAAGATTAAGAACTGCGAAAAACTGTAAGTCGCTCACGTATCAGGGACAAAGACATATAGATATCATGGATACCGTCGAGGACAACCGAATATGTTTGAGCTGAACCGCTATTAGACTCAGATTCTTAATATCCACCCATCTGTACAGTGGTTTCTTTCAAGCTGGGTTAAGGGTGGTCATTTCCACAACTTTCTCATCGGGGGTAATAAAAAAAGATGACTACTTTTTGCCGGAAAGCTTGTGGATAAGTTAAGTCTTTCATTAAAGTGGGACCATAGCAGCAAGTCGCTTCACCTCAATGTCAACGGCAGGGGCTCAGGTAATCAGGCGTTAATGCTACCTATCATATAAGTTTTACACAGATAGATAAAGTCGAATGTTGGCCTTGACGGCGACACTGTTGCTCTATTAGCCCAGACAAGTGCTGAGGTAGGTAGCTCTTCTTAGCTTAAGGTCCTGAGCATAAGACAGGATTCCCAGGTAGACTTCGAGATTCTTCTAGGCACGTCAACGTTTTTCTATAGATCTTTGGTATCTAACAAACAACCTTAATATGATGATGTTTGTTTTGGCAATTTTTCTCAGATTAGTCAGAAAGGTAATTTCGGGTTTATCTAGTTGTTTACATATAATTTTAACGTGTAAAAGTATTGCTTTATGGCCACTTATCAAAAAAAAAATAATTTCATTATCTCAATGAAGGACACGTTATTGTTTTCAGAAGTAGACCAAGACCTACAATCTGGCTCCTTTTGGAGCAAAATCAAATAACAGGGCATGGCATAATACTATGCCCGGTATTTAAATTCTGCTTTTTTCGTAGCCTCTATATCGGAGATGGCTGACCAGTTTGCGACAGCTGAAGTACGATGCGACGACCTACAGGATAAAATCGATTTGATAAAATCTTTAAAAAGGAAAAGGAAACTTAAAAAGCGAAGGTGTGTGTAATATTTCTTCAATTGATCTGACAAATAGACATTCAGCATTTATGGATAGGGTACGTTCTTAGTCCTTCACTTTTTCTTTCTTCTCGTGTTTGGGTTAAAATAGCTATCGTACATAAACGACTTTTGGTTGGAGCTTAGAGTAACCATTCGTCAGTTAATTTGATCTCTGAGAGATAGAACAAGTCACAGTTAAAAGTAGATGAGAGCAGATGAGTAGATATGTCCGTAAGGATTGAGGAGCCACATCAGATTTTTAAAATCTGATCTCACCATTATTTAGCAGCAATGTAGCTTATTTTGCAGCACGAAGTCTAGATTTAGCAGCAAAATATATCACTAGTTATTTTAATGCAAAAGTGGCTCCTCAATCTAAACGTCTGAATTGAGGAGCCACCACCACCACTCGTTAAGTGATAGATGAATATTTATGAAAATTTTGTATCATTTAGTAGCAATTTTGCATATTACCGTCTAAAAATTTAGCTTCTGTAGCGCTAAAATGAAAGAAAATAGAATACTTTTAATATGGCTCCTCAATTACACTACATTGCTATATTGCTGCTAAATAATGGTGAGATCAGATTTTAAAAATCTGATGTGGCTCCTCAATCCTTACGGACATGAGTAGATTAAGAGTCTAGTGTATGGTTAAGCTGCAACGAGCAGGGGAAGGTCACTGCCCGACCAGGACTAGACCCGTGCGTACGGCGGTTTAAAAAGCAAACGGACCATTACAAATGTGGCCCCACAGGACTGATGTTCAGCCAGGGTTGCGTGGCAAGCGCAATAAGGTTACGCGGTCTCGACCTTTCGGAGCAGGGGAAATAACGTGTTGGTTTTCTGAGTCTGAAACTCCCTCTTGCCTCATTCTAGGATAGAGAAATTTTTTACCCTCAAAAAAAGAAAGCAAGCTGTATGCAGTAATTTACCTTGCCAGATAAAAGGTCTTATTTGTTGAATTTTGTCTCGATATAAACATAATAAACCAGGCACAGTCTTTCATTCCAGCATGACTAAAGTTACAGAACCGCCAACGATACCAGAGAATGTTCCATTTATAAGTGTGCGTACACAACCGAAGAAAAGTAAGTACTTTTCGATTATTTGTATATGTAGGCTGCATTTCATCATCGTATCAGAAAATATGCTTATCACATATCACACCACTCACCGCAAGATAATGTCTTCTTAAGCTGTAAGTTGAATTAACGTCAAAGAAGGGTAGGTACTTCACCAATTCATATACCACCTACCGCATAGTTACATCTCTGCGCTACAAGATCACTGGAAATACTTTTGGCATTAGGTCCTCCGATATGGAATTGTATATGAAGTATTTATAGACAAATATAGATCTGAACTGTGTTGGTTCTAATTTATACAACTATTTCGTTTAGCATAGGAAAAAATTGTGCCAGCTTTGCTGATTACAGAGGTGTCACAGCAAGCCGCAAGACTACGTCGGCTGGAGGTGCCACCGAACCCTACACGAGGATACTTGGACCCTGCAACTGTGGAACAGCACCGGATGATCAGCCAAGTGCGTGGGTACAACCAGGCGTTCAAGCCACAACAAGAACGCTCTGGGGTCTGTACGTCTTGTATTCGTAATTTTACAGGCAAAAAATTGAGGCACAAATTAAAAAAATACTTAGACACATTTGAAAGTTTTAATTGCAATTGCTAGAATCGAACAAACCTCTACGACTTTTATAGACTTGAAAAAAGCGTTTAATAAGTCATTTCTTGTTATTAAATAAGCTGACTAATGCAGGTATGCCACTACTACTATATAATAGCTAATGTAATGTTCCTTAACAAAAACTTAAAAAAAGATCCCGACGAATTGAGAACCTCCTAATTTTTTTTAAGTCGGTTAAAAAATAGATAAAGACAAAGTCCACCTGTTGAAATCACTTATGGAATATTATTTTAGTGTGGCCATTAGCGCTGTGCACTCCCTGAAGTATGCAGGTATAGTTTCAGGAAATTTCACCCTTTGTGCACTTGCCACTTGTCTCTATTAGTTTGGGCAATACTTAAAACATACCTATCCCAAATAAAGCACAGAATGATCTCAGCGCCCTAAACAGGTTTCTTTCGAACCATCAAACAATATTTATGAGATGTATGTAAGCTTTAGCTCACTTCGTAGATCCTTCTTTTTTGTTGTTTTTAAAATATTTTTGAACCGAATTTGTCAGACACGGTGGAACTTACAATAGCAGTTGGCCTTGTTTGGGTTGAGCGCTGCCGTGTCTTCAACGATCAGCGATCGATGGCGGCGACCTCGGCTATGCCTGGATCTGATTCAGGCCATGCGTGGAAAGAAATCAAATGGAAAGCCTCAATGACAATATAACCACGTGGTTATATCCTCTTTGCGTCTCCTTCTGCAAGGCAATCATGCCAGTAAAGAGGAAAGCAAATCATGTAAGGGACATGTAATCACTAACCTCCTCATTTCGCAGCCGGCCCAGGAGAGACTCGGAGTCGCGACCAGAACTAAACCCGATAAATAGATAGGTTAGGATTAGGACCTCATTAAGATTCAGTTAAGGAAAACTGCTAACAATGTAAACATGAAGCATATTTTATGGAGTTGGATGTTAATTCCTGTATTTTTTAACTATAGCAAACTCCGTCCTCAACCGTGGATCAGCGACAGTTTCCGAAGCACCGGCAGCAAAGGTCGCAGGCTGACAATGACAGTGAGTACATTACTCGTACACAGAAATATGTATTTGTATTCTCTGTCTTAACAGCTTCTTATTGTTAATGTTGCTAACATTATTTGAAACAATAGGTTTAGGTGGTCGGAGCCAGCCGCTCAACGAAGTATTGGAGGTAGCTAGTGGACAGGATATCACGGGTGAAGAATATTCTAATGCGGGACTCCATAACCGACTGTCTGAGTAGTGAGTATATTAGAACTAAATAGACTGTCAGTACTGAACTGAACTAAGTAACCAGTAATGTTTTAGTAAGTAAAATGTAAAATAATAAAAAGGGGTTTCTTAAGTTTTTGCTACAATGCCGCTACGCTGGCACTTTTTTCAAATGTCTACATTGCTAGCTACTCCCATACAGTTTCACCCGCTGATGTATTCTCAGACAAACACTCTTCAGTTTTTAGTATAAATAACTGTAGATAAGAGAAATAATAAGAATAAATAATAAGAATAAATCTAAAAACCTAATGTTTTACAGCCCTGTAGTAGCTCCTAAGAAAACGACGGATTTGCGTCAACTGAAACAGACAACGAATCGGCGAAGGCATGTTCCTAGGGAAACTATACTTAAAGAAGGCAAGGCTTACTTTACTCTTGTACAGCTACGTATACTTTACTCTTGTACAGTAACGTTTATTTGCACCACAGAAATCTTAATAATAGGCTTTAACGTAACTCGTTACGTTTACGTGATTTGCACCATTTTACGTAACTTTTTATTTGACGCTTGGTATGCTGCCCATAGCACAGAAGAAAATTCTGGATTGGGGCAATGTTTTTAAGAGAAAAAACCGTTTATTTCTATCTATAACGAAGACATGTTATGAAAACCGTTCTTTTTTAACTATGAATTTATTTATTAGTTGGAGCTGATCAAGTTATAGACCCATGGCAAGCTGGCGCACAAGGTGAGCAACCGGTAAATCGCCCTCGTCGAAAATCTACTAAAAGTCATCAATCTGCTGGTAAGTGTTCTTTGTACCCATTATGCTGCTACAAACAAATCCGATCTCATACACTTAGGTGTCGTCCTAATGGGTCGCGCGATGTCCATCGTGCGATTAATAAAGTGACTAATCCACAAAGTGATCGCACGATTAAACGTATCGTACGACGAGATCGCATCGCGCCATCGTACAATCGCTCCCAATTAGGATGACGCCTTATTCTACCCATTTTTACGGTAAGAATAGTAAAATGAGAGTTATTGATAAAGGAGACGATCAGCCGGTCGTGGAGCTGTTCAATAAGAGTCAGAATGGTCCAACGCATGTGCGGAGAGTAGCTGCCGCGCCAACGGCCCCAGCGCCCCTAGAGTCACTTGCTACCCACGACAAGAAAACGAAGAAAGGTGAGAATATTTAGTTACTTCCTACAAAAGTGGTTTTGACGGAACTACTCTGTCGAAAATAAAATTTATGTCAAAATTGCTTTTATTTAGCAGATTTTGTTAAGTCGTTAGTGACCTTTGAGTCGTTTTTAGAAAGATTTTAAATATTTTCTGGGAGACATTAATATCTACTATAGGTAGCTACAATCTACCTTTCCACCAAATGATAGACGAATTCTATATCCTAAGTAAACTCGTATTTTCATCTCTTCAAATAAAATCTTCTGATTTATTTCGTTGCGGGATCCGAGACAGTCATTTATGTCCCTGGGACGCGCGGACTTCAGTGTTCCGGTGTTTTCTTGGTTGTATCTTCTGTAGATCCTAGCTTACAGGAGTTGCAGCGGTTTCGGGAGGTTGCGGCGGGCTGTCCTTTTAATAAAAGCCTAAGTAAACCTGGAAGCTGCCACATCAGATCTCTCTTACGAGATTTTAAAATGGAACCATTTTATATCTCTGTTATGATCTGTCCAAAATCTGTAGAAATTTTGTCGAAATTGCAACACTAATGACAATGATAATAATCTTTGCAGTTCGCAATCTTAAGTGTGACGAGGATACTGCACAGATGGAAGATATTGTACAGGAACCTAAAAAGGTTTGCTGATTATACTTAAAGTATAACTTACAAAACAGTATTATTATTATTTTTAAAAGTTATCTGAGGAATAATTATGATGCTGTCGCATCAGAATGTTTGCATAACTTAAAAAAAATATTACATTTATCTGACTATTGAAAAATCAGTCCTTAATCAACTAAATAGCTTATTATCGTGGTTTCTGTTAGTCACGATTACGAGATTATGAATTAGGTCTTATGTCCATCAATATAACAATGTAAATACATTACAGGTACACCACGAAGGATCGCATCATCGCCGCATCAGATACAGGAGTCGTCGTTATGAGCTGCCAACGGTAGCGTCGCAGATGAAACAGGCTGGTATGCGGTACTACTACGGAACATCCAACCACACTAACATACCGTTTGTAGTGAGCAAGAGTACAGCGCCCTCGCACAACATCGGTGTCAACATACAACAGGTAGCGTGCCAAGTAATCTTTGACTTAACTTTTTAAAGCTTGAGGAACTTATTTTTTTTTATGTAGGTCGACAAACGAGTAGTCGGATTACCTGATGGTAAAAGCAATCACCGCCGCCCATGGACACGCGTAAGGGAAGAGTTACGAGTGCGTTGCCGACCTTCTAGGGATTAGGGATTAGGAGATTTAGGGATTGAGGAAGCGGAAGGATTGTGGTTGTTTCACGCCGGTTTTCTGTGAGGCCGTGGTATCACTCCAGTCGGGCCGACCTATTCGTGCTGAAGCATGGCTCTCCCACACTTAGCATGGCTCTCTCACACTTAGCATGGCTCTCCCACACTTAGCATGGCTCTCCCACACTTAGCATGGCTTTCCCACACTTAGCATGGCTCTCCCACACTTAGCATGGCTCACCCACACTTAGCATGGCTCTCCCACACCTAACTTATTTGTACTTTATTTTTCTAATAAATCACACAGAAGTTCGTTCGTGTTTGATATTACCCGTTTACTCGTTACTAGCTACTCTCGCGCGGTTTCTCCCGCTGCGCCATCGCCACACCATTTGATCGTAGCATGATGTTTTATAGCCTATAGCACTAAGGAACATTGTAAGCTACCTATCAGTGAAAGACTTTTGGAAATCTACTGAATGTATTAAATGGATTTCTTTATTCCATTGCAGGTGTTAAATGGCCTTAAAATACAACAGCCATTATCAGGGATACCTCTCACTATAGCGCATCATATGGGTGAGAATGTTTCAAATTCCATAAAAATATCGAATAGGGTATATATATGTGTAGATAGATATATAATCTTTGAATATAAGATGAAGGGAATATAGGATGATAATGTAGTCTGAACATAAGTATGGAAACATAGTATTAGAATGTTGAACCGATCGTTATAGATGTATTGATAAGATGATTATTTGCTGCTGCTGCTGCTGGGCCTTCATTCCAAGTCTTTTGTCTTGTTTTTGAATAGAACTAAATTTATTGGAAATACTTGCACCCGGTTTCTGAAAGGCTTGTCAACGCAAAAATTAACTAATCTCCTGTTAAATCTCTTGTCAAGTCATCTGATTGTTTGTTGATAATTCAGTCTACCAATCAGATGACTTAACAAGAGATTAAATTGATTTTAACATTGATCGGCCTTTCGGAAACCGGGGGTTAGTCACGTGAATTAACTGAGAAGAGCTCAACTAGTTTCGACGACGTCGCTGCGACGCGCACGATGCTCGTGAATAAGTGCTCCGTTGTGACTTGAAACTAAAAGAGTCTTCCTCAGTTAATTCATGAGAGTAAGCTGTTATTTTCAATACACCATTTTTCTTGTCTTCAGTAAAACGCTTATTTAAGTACATTGGCAAAACGCCCGGGGAGACACGTAAAATGACTCGTTGTCACATTTACAGCAATTGTGTTAGAAGAGAAGACTTATGTTCTGTTTGAATAATACTGTTTACCCCGAATTTCAGGTTTAGGCCACGTACCGACATATGGACCGAAGAGTGCAGATGTAGTAAGCATCAATGATAATAAGAAAATAATATTATTTATGAAATTAAGAATATTATTTATTTTAATTTGCTCAGAAGCCGATTATTGTTATATTATTGATTTTCAGGAGCCATCGCTAGACCACCGCGAAATAAATGCGATCCGAGTTGGTCGGCGCCTGCTACGGCTACCGTCCTACAAATACATGTCCTACAATCAACTATTGAGCCTCTACCGTGAGGGAGATGGCATGGTCCCTAGGTTCCTCCGGGCCATATCACGTCCTCACTATTTCTACACCTCCATGTACAAGTGAGTTGTCAACAACCAAATGTTACTATCCATACATAAACATGTGCTTAAAAAGACCCTTACTTAATTGGCTTGAAATAAACTCTCAATTTGTGTAGTGCATATGATTGTAAAAATTTTCAAGTGCGTATTAATGTTTCAAGCAGTCTCGCGACAAATCGAGAAGATTTTGATGGAGCGACGTCGAAAGGTCGAGGTGGTAATCAAGAAGCTAAACAGAGTCTTGCAGAGTACGCTAGTTTATATCGGGAGTACGAACAAGTTGATAAGTGTATCAAGGAAGGCAACTTCGAGCCTGAACTAGAGCGTCGCAGAGACGAGCTCACGAGAGAGTTGGCTTCGCGGGAAGAACATATTCGCAGAGTAAGTGGAATACATGCTGCCTAGTAACAATTCTATCTTGAGCTTATCTCCTCCTACTATGTATGTTTTTGCAGGTGGTCCAAGAATACCGAACAGGCGGTGAAGCAGACCCAATCTTACGCGCCTCGGCTTCCACGGCCGAAGATGGCTACCGACACTCTACCTTTAAGTTGGGAGACGTTCAACAGTAGCAAATGCCCAAACCGTCGCTAGGGTCTTTTCGTTTTCTAATGTTTCACTTCATGCAACACAAACCCGAGTACTCAGAGTCTGCGCTCCAAAAACGTCCTCATAGTTAACCTAACGCAATAAAACACACGCGGACCGGAACGACAAAAATATTTTTTTAATAATCAATATTTATGTAAAAATTGTTAAATATCGAAATGAAATTGTTAAATTACGGATAATACCCGTACAAATATTGGATTGTAAAATATTTTATACGCCATAAATATTATTCGAAGGACAACAAGTTCGGTTCGATAAAATTTGCAATATATACCAAGTATCGGCTTCATCGGAACTGTTCTCCTCCTCTTGAATCCACTTATGCGCTGGTCGTACATCTCGAATACTTAATTTTTCCTCTTTATGAATATTGATTGTATAGTTTCCTGAAATGACTTTAGCTTCTGTAACGCATAGTTTTTATGCTTAGGACGTTTCATCTTTGTTTCCTTTTTAATTTCCTATTAAGTTGTAGCTCATTTACATTTACAGTTTTGCCATTATGGTGCTTATTTTAAACCATAAATTGTGTAGGTGTAATCAAGTATTTTAGCTGGTTAATAAATAATGTACGTCATAAAGTAAGTTTCGGTCTTAAACTATAGCAGGATACGGTAATAGGGTATGGTACGACTAGAAATGTTGATTGCTTGAGTTATTAGTTATGCATACACAAGTTTCGATGGACGTTTTAAAAGTGCATTAGTTTCAAATTTCGGGTTCGCTCCGATCCCCTTGGACTGCATTGACTGTCCGGGAGCACGCCTCATTCAAGTTCAATGGCCAACTCAGGACTACTCTAGCATATTGTAATATTCGCTATGTATGAATGTTTAGTGATACAACCGGCCCCGTATTGTTGTCCCGATAGTTCTGGCTGGTGTTTGAAAGCATATTGATTGTTACGTCGAATTTAAATTATAAATGTTATCTTTATTGGCAGGGAATAGTAAAAGTTTGTGAACGATGTCATGTTATAAAGAAGTTTTAATACATTTTACTTTGAATTCTCAATTACTGTTTTATTTTTAATTTATAAATAATAAATAAATGAGTGAATATAATGGCGCATATGAATTCTATTAAGCAATATGAGCATATAATGTAGGTAATGTATAGGGTGATGACGATTTATACCTAATCACGTTTAATGTCTTGGTAAATATAATGTTTAATAACATGAAATATTTCGACACATTTTGTTATGTACACATAGTTAACAACAACGAAGAGATGAATTACATTATATTACTTATCTATATAATAACTAAGCATGGCGACAGACAATACAATATTTTAATAAGACCGTTCGAACATAACGTTAAAATTGCTCGCTACAATCTACAAAGAGATTGAACTATTTACACAAATATATAACAATAATAATATCTTAATATATCTAAGTATTTGGCTTAAGGTGTTTCTAAACGTTTACCCGGGAAGTATAGCATCAATATCGGTAAGATATGTAAGGCCGTGTTTAAAATGACCGGGATAAAGGTAAATACGAGATCGCTTGGTAATGTGTGCAATGTTGCGGGCCACTGTGTGATTTCATCAGCCATTGTAACCCGTTAAGGACGCCCATGAGCCACTTCATTATTGTACCACATCCCCCATGGATATAGACAAGCTGTTACATCAATAACAGTTGCCACTACACAGTAAAACTTAGCCCGTTTAGAAACATCTTCCAACAAAATGATCTTATTTATTTGCAAACTATTAATGTATTCCTAATGTAATTCATGCATTTATATATTAATAATATTATTTGATGATTTTAATAATTTTATTGGTCTAGAAGTTAGCCAATGATCTGAACATTAATATTTTTACAAAACTATACTTACATAAAATAAAAACAAAGTATAACTATTCTTATGTAAGACAATTAGAAGTAGGATGCGATTGACAAAAATCGAGAATCCTTACTTGTAAATTGTAATTTGCATTTCATGAAATTGAGTACGTAGGTAATCGAGTATTTTGAGCTACCACTAAGACATTGTTCATTGCCCTAATTAATTTATTTTGTATGTAGGTACGATAGGAGCATCATAAGTAAAATGTATCCTACTCTAAGAATCTAGTCACCTTTAAATAAGCAATACTACATTAATGCTTACGTTACCGTTCAATATTTATGGGATACAACTCTATTTTCACACGGTAGTGTTTACATCCACAAGTTTTTTCTTTACACTTATAAACCTTAGAAAGTAGCTCCTAAAGTACCTACATGTACTGCTCAAATCATGCAGAGGCTGAGAGCTGCGCTGTGGTTGAGTGTCAGTTTAGTTGCGGGTGTCAGTGGAGGAGGGAAGGTTCTCGCCGTCAATCTTGTGGCGGGTAGCTTGGATGTAGGCCTCCGCAGCAAGAGCCGGCCAGGCATCGGTAGCAGCCGCCGGGGCCCCGGCCCCACCCCAGGCCTCTGTCGTCGACACCTCCGCAGGCCTCTCCACGCTCTCTGCTGCCTTCGGGGTGGACTCCAGCGACAAAGATTTTGGCGTCTCAATCCTTTACAACATATAACAGCCGTTATTACAGAATTTGTATATTAGTTTATCCGGTATTTCCAAATATGATACAAGTTCAGTAGGTACAAACTGTGCAGTAATTAAAAAACGAATTGAATTGTCGAGAAAAAAGCAAATATTTTCACACGGTTTTTGAAAATGTGGTAAATTTATAAAATAATAACCAACGATCTGTGGGAGCGTGATTATACTCGACTTCGTGTAAGAAGGCTGTTAGCTGTTTTAGACGCTTGAGTTAAGTTTTGTTGTAGGTTCGACTGAATCTTGTAGAAATTGAATTTCTCATTTAATAAGGTAGTTTCGAGCGCGAAGTGTTATAAAGAAAAGAGTTAGAAAAAAGAAAAAAGTTTGAAATGCGACCGGCACAGAAATCGAATCACCATTACAAATAAACAGTTAGGTACCAAAATTGAAATAGAATTTCAGTTTATCAAAATGCTCATCATTCAGGTCGTTGATTGAATTATAACGAGTACGCTAGTTGACTGCGATATATCAATATCGTCAGAAACATTAATATAAAATGTATTACAAAAAAATGGACATCATACATTTGTCTTGGATTTCATATTAAAATAACTATTTCAAAGTATTAACAGCTCTACTGGGTCAAGTAGTTTGGACCATGTTCTATAATAAATATATCAGTTTTCTCATAGAGAAAACTCTTATAGAGAAAACTGATATATTTAGTTGATTATTGAGTTAACAAGCTTTCAGACACAGGTGTAAGTTAATTAAAATTCACGTTAAAATTGGTAAATGTATCTAGCTAATTTGACATCAAGTTTGCAAGTTCGTAAAGAGTTAAAAGTTTGTAGGAACGTTAAAAATATAAAAATCATGAAAAGTCCAACGTAATCGTATAATTAAATTAGATTTTAAGAATTTTAAATTTCGAGCAAAATGCTTTTGCTATTTTCAGTCTGGCGGTCAGTGTCGGTGGAAACTCCATGACTATAATTTGGAAAAAAAATGATTGTCATATTTGCAAACTTTATTTAATTTATTTGCAAATAAGTAATTGAATGCACAAGCAATTGTAGAAATTAATTTTTTTCGAAACATTCCTCCCAATTCTCAGCTTCGTGCAGATTTATGCTTTCTGCAAAAGTTCGTTAGCTTAGTTATTGTATGTCAGTACGTTACGTATACATACAAACGGGACATTTAGTGGGACTTGGGTGAAGGGTAGGTGTGGGTTCTTAGAGAAAAAATACCTCACGCGTTCTGGTGACTGCATGGCGTCGTTCGTGCTGGATATTTCCAAGTCTTCAGCGTAGCTCATGTGCAATTTATCGCCATCACCGCGTTGCTCTTTTTCTAAACAAATTTTTCATATTTTTACATAACGTAAATGCCTGCAAACAAAACTGTTGTTCCAAGATTTGTGTTAATGTAAAAAGTAAGCTATGACATGTTGGTCTTTTGAGGGAACGATAGCTTGTATCAATGCTTACCAGAACAGGGTAGATAAGAATTCGAATTATCACCAAAATTAATATGCTGATATGCTGTTTCATACTTATTTATAATTAGATGCCCACATGGACACTTATATTGACGGGATCAGGTACACAGTGACCGTAACTATACCGCTGTATAGATTGAAAAATTACGTGGAAGCAGGTATATTAACTAATTACCATCAACGTTAATGGCCGCCTCTGGCCAGCCGAGGGAGTCTCCCTCAACATCAACAGGCTCGTCTTCAGCGTCGTAAGGGCGGGATTCGCGAGGCCTCTCTTCCCGCCGTTCCTCTTCTAGGTCGTAACCAAGCATGCTCTCGACTGTATGGTGGCGTTTGCGAGTACGCAACTTCAGCCGACGCTGGCGATTGGCTCGAATTCGCTGGTAAGTCTGGGACCGTACGAAAATATATAAGTACAAAAGTGTATATCAGAGAATATAACATTTTAGAATAGGATACAGGCAGCAAAATACCTAACTATTCACTTCTATAATTTAATATTCCTACTGCAATAAATATGTAGGTTACCTCCCACCGGGCGTCTTCGTCCTGATGGTGTAGCGAGTGCTGTGGTGGAACTGCAGTGTCCCGTGGCAGCGCGCTGAGGCTGTACAGGTGCTGCAGCTCCTGCAGGAAGTGCGCCTGGGCGACACCCGGGCCCAGCCGCGCCCCGCACACACCACATGAAGACTTGCGCTCACCGTCCGCTAAACAGTTATATATACAGTTGTAAATTTCTTACCACATAATCAATTTTATAATTTTTAGAACCAAAGACTTGCTTTTTCTTTTTACCGCGTCCTACTTCTTTTGATTTTTAATAATACCTAAATAATAGTATCAAATATTTACAACATATAATTATGCGGTGTTAACGTGAAATGTATTTATTGAAATACCTTGGTAGGCTTGATGTTTCGCGTTAATACCCGCGTAAATATGAAACGCGAAAGTTTAAAAGTTAGTATAGTATCAAATAAGTACTTGAGACCATAGTTAGGTATGTTATGTCTGGTGTTGAAGTCACAGCCTCGTAAAAATGTATGTCATGTATGTACAATTTACAAACATATACGTATATTTAGCAATATACCTAATAATTATTTTAAAATGAATAACTCAATAGTATATATTTTATTATTTTTCCATTTATCAAATATGGCGTGTGGCCAATTTTTATTTTGGATTAATAGTAACTGAGGTTAAAACATCCATTTAGGCTTTACCTTCATTTCTGGAGTACTAAGCTTACCTAACACGCTTAGAGATAATGGAGAGATATTTCATTAGGGTAAAGACGCACTCCATTACAATAATCAGAATGTAGCCTGCACAATTCCGCATCTATACTGCACCTATGTAAACAGCCGTAGTCGGTAGATGATAATCGATCTATTATGTGTTGTCACTGAATCGTGCGTCCCCGTACTGCGGTTGATTAGGCAGAAACTTTGGCTACCACGTCATGAAGACCATTAACATTGCCTGGTAAAGTCCAGACAGACAGGCAAATGTATCATACAATAAACTATCAACTATTATTTGTCCAGTTGTGTAACGTTAAGTAGGATTATTGCTGAAACCTAAGTAAGTAGGATGATAATCTAGCTACGCTAAAGATATCACATGTTATGGCCTTTACTCTCCACAGGAATAGTTAGAGGATTACATATTAATTGCCCAGTAGCCTATTTTGTCGTTAGTGTCAGTAAATAAAAATGCCATTGTGATTCACAAATTGTTATTGATCCGGGCCTAGGTGTCTGTTGTAAACACATCCGCGTCACAGAAAATCATAGTGTTGCAACAACATAGTGGCAAAAATATTTTGATATAGGGACAACGATAATATTCCTATTATATGTAAATGTTAACAGAGATATTATGAGTCCTGTATTAAAATAGGAGATGAACCTTGACTGAAATTAGGTATTCACATAAACCTTTACTTTTCGTTTATCGAATAAAAAATAATTGACAGGCCAGGACCATATTCGATGGTACGTTCAGCGGTTCGTCGCACATTCTCAATGGGATCGCCGAACCAAAGTGATTTTTTTTAGTGAGGGCAATAATCATCATTTCACTTCTCCCGCCCAGGGTAGGGCGGGAGTGTCAGACTCTTACTGACTAAAAACCCCCCGTTGTTCTCTTGCTCTAGTCCGAGGTCGCGGTGCCTCATTGCGCTTGCCCCGCAACCCCGGCTGAACATCTACTATAGGGCCCCGTCTGTGGTGGTCTACCGGCTCTTTAAAGCGTGCGCAGAACGCTACATGCCGTATGGTCGGGCGGCAAGTACGGTGTCAGTTCGGTCTATTGTGTGCTTTAAGCTAATAACTTACGTGAGAAGAAGTCGTGAGAGTCGGTGCATGTCGGTGCCGCTGGTGCGTCATCATCCTTGCAAGGTCGAGGTGAGGCTGACGCGGCAGAGCCCGGCGAGCTCGTGTCGTCGCGCGCCGCGTACGCGTGGCGGTACAGCGGCGGCGTGCTGCTGTCGTCGCGGACATTCTGCATGATACATTATGAAACAAATGTATCATATGATCAACTGTTTTACTGTGATTTGTCCAGTGATGCATTTCGTAGGATATTTTCTTGAGTAAAATAATTCTCAGTGCGATTAACAAGTGGTTGTAAGTATTTTTTTCAGAAGTGTGGGAGAGCCATGCTTCGGCACGAATGGGTCGGCTCGACCGGAGTGATACCACGGCCTCACAGAAAACCGGCGTGAAAAAACCACAGCGTTATGTTTCGCCGTGTGAGTGAGGTTATCGGAAGCCCAATCCTTCCCCTTCCTGGACCCTTCCCCAATCCCTAAATCTCCAAATCCCTAATAGGTCGGCAACGCACTCGTAACTCCTCCGTTGCGGGTGTCCACGGGCGGCGCTGATTGCCGACTCATTATGATTGCCGACATTTATTACAGACTTAAACATTAAACACAAACATATATTACAGACATTGTGTCCGGAACGAATTAATTTCTTGCTACTTCCATGCATGAATTGACCGGGTTCCTCTATTAGTGAAAGTGTGATATGTCATAAAAAAAGGATTAAAAATAAAACTTTCTTTTGTATCTCACCCTCAAAGCTTGTCCAACGCTTTGACCAAGCGCGTATTGTTCACCAAGATGTCTGGCGAATGCTTTGCCAGGGTAAAGAGGGTGGAAAGCGCCCCCTATCGGACGAAATGCGCCACAACCGAAGCTCTGCAGCGCTGGGTGCAGAAACTGCGGCGCCATGTGGTGCAGGAACCCCTCCATGACTGATTGATGCTCTAAACACAACAGAACTGTTATCAAGAATTCAGAATAAGACAATACGCCAGCTGATAGAAGAAAGAAACTAAGAAAACTGTTGTAGATATTCGCAAACGCTGAATATTATCACCGCTCAGCAAATAATATGGAAACTAACAACCCGTTAATACATTGTAAAGGAACTATAGTACCGACCCAATGTGCAACACCTGTCTTCGGACACTCATGTAGTCCATTTAAATTCGAAAAATATTTGTAAGTAAAGCGAAGCCTACGAGACCCTTAGCATTACAAACACAAATTGCATAATAAATGTGGAGCTAAAACATTTGAAATTTAACTGACTTTTTATTAACGATAGATCACACAAAGCAAGTTACGCTACAAAAAACAATTCCACAGAAAGTGGTCATCGTAACGGTTTCGGAGAAACAAACAAAAAAGTAGAGTTACAGGCACTTAACTACACACGAATAGACAAGGTGTTTATTTTGAAAGCGTACGTATTGCGTCGCGTGCGCACGCCGCGTGCCGCCCGCCGCCCGCCGCGGCCATCTTCGGGAGGACAACGCGAACAAATAAACATTACTCCTCATATCATTGCTGCCGTCACAAATATTAGGCCTCGTCGTTGTGTTGAACAGAAAAACTATTAACTTGTGACTTCTATACTATTTCGCTGTTTATAAAGTTGAGATTTAGACCATAAAGAGAAAATATTTATGAATGTATTAGTAGACATATTCTTAACAATGAATTTTGTCACTGTAAGTGGCTGAACAACATCTCTTCTATATTGTTACAGTTATTTATACAGTGCTAGCCTATATACATATGTATGTCTCTCATATTCACCCTTCATGTTTACTAGCTAAAGTACACAAACGAATGAAAACATCGATATAGTCCAGCACGAAATGGAAACTGATTGAAAGCTAGCTTCAAATCATTAATTGGTAGACGATTCTGGAATCGAGTACCCGAAAGTGTGGTTCTGTTTGTGTTTAGCTTTTAATAATGTTGTCATCCGTTTCACGCAATAGTCCAATATAGTAGTTTTCGGACAAAGTCCGTTGTATCCCTTTGGCGCGACCCTTTGGTGATGTTGAAACGAATAGCCGCAGTTATGAGACCTCGCATAACTTGCCTTTGTGTCACATTCGAACGCGAGTCGCCAGACAGACAGATTTGATAGCTGAAGCATTTTCCATTAATTCCGTATTAATAGGTGCATCCGCCGCTCTTAATACCGCGTGTCACTAGCAGACTTCAAAACGTTTGTCCAGTACTAATTTATGCGGCTACTTGTCATATGTGTAGCTATTCCGTAGCACACACACTTTTTACTCTTTGTGTAGCTTCTTGATAGTTCTCACACTCACGAATTAAATATATATGTATATGAAAAACGAAGCATGAATAGTTTACTTTAATAATATCACATTACAGTAGATATAACAGCAGGGTTGTGTCGGACTTTGTCAACTATAACAGACACAGCCTATCTTATATGTAACTATATAAAAATAAAGCTTAATTGCATTGCATCAGACGTGGACGGCTCGATCGTTTTGATTGTGCACATGTTATCATCAAACATGTACAAACTAAAATTGTAGAAAAGAAGTGGAGGAAACTGGGAAATGAATACCATTTCAGTGCGGTAACGGTTCTCTAACAAAACAAATGACTGACAACGTGTGAAGCAGGAGCGAGCCCCGCTGGTACTCAATACAAGTAGTTATCTACTACGATGACTGTTCACCGAATGAACCACTGACACAATTTTCCAGTCCGTTTATTCTTTATTTTAATTTACAAATTAATTGCAGCAGAGTTATAGAGTTTAAGTATGGGAGAGCTATACCAGCCTTCGGCACGAATGGGTTAGCTCGGACAGAGTAATACAACGGCTTCAAAGAAAAATAGAAACAACCACATTGGTTACTGGACGACCAATCCTTCTTCCCCATCTCGATCCCTCCCCAATCCCTATATCTCTGAAACACTAATCCTTAAAAGGCCAGCAACACAATAGTAACACCACTGAGATTTTGGGTGTCCATGAGCGGCGATTGCTTACCATCAAGTAAATGCGAAGGTTGTAGGCCTTTACCCTATTACATAAAATATTAGGATGTAATTTATGAGCTATATTCAAACTTTAAAAATCACCAATCACTTCTGATTATGCCCTAGAAGCAGGTTTCTTGTTGACTTACTGACATTACATTAATATCACACATATCTCAAGTTGATTATAACACAATGGAGTAAGAAATTCATTGTCCAGCCCGACAATGTTGTCAGCGGAGACAATATACCCAGCCGCGACATAATTAGTGTGTGATCAAAGAATTAATTATAGGTCTAATGTACAATTATCATTGACAATCCGATCCAATCAGCGACCCGTCTGATTAACAGCAGTAACATATATAGGTGAGATCTCAATATCAGCCCGTTTGAGTCTCCAATTAGTAGAGCAGCGTAATGGCTTAAGTGTTGTCGCTGTAATCAATCGGAGAGTAAACAGCGGGTATTGCTTTGTACTGCAGGGAGGTCACACCGCTACCGACTACACACTGGACTACTGATGTCTTTTGTAAACAACTACGCAGTGTTCCTCGCCACTTGCAAACTCCCGTCTAAGTTTTATAGCCAAAAACTATTATTAGAAGACTTTACCATACTAGTACACTAACATTTATGGCTTTTTTTCATTGGTGAACAGTAAAAAATACTTTTGAATAGTAACTATTATGCGACAAACTAAATTGAAACTATTGAAAATAACTGAGAAAAGCTCTTCTACTTTCAAGTCACTACGGGACTCTTATTTATGAGCAAAGAACGCATCGCGGCGAGGTCGCCCCACTGTTTAAGGTATGTGGAATAAATAATTCAATACAAAATCTATCGTTATATCATATGAGGCATGTTTATTTGATTTACTAAGATTTTTGTCATCATTATTTGTCAACGAATTAAGTAATAGTCTGTTTACCCATTTACCGAAAACTCAACCAGGAGCAACGATTTACTGGTACTTAGTGAAGGCTACGAACATGGATAGTTCTGTAATGATTGTCCTGGAGTAATGTAATACAGGTACCGGTGCACATTCTCTAAACATAAGATCCTTGAGACAGACCAATGATATTACGTCAGCACGGACTACGAAGGGGCTAATCCAAATTGAATAAAGAGGCTGTACGGCCTCTACTGATTCGGGAATCCCATGTCTTGAGACTACCAGAATACATTAAATTAGATAGCCATTTACTACAGTTGTATAGCATCGGCAAAGTCTAATTTTAATATCATGAGACCTTTGCATACAATTTCAAAAGCGCCAAAGTGAATAGAAAACAGAATGTAAAATGCAGTTAAAGCACAATAATTACTTGTAAAAAATATTAGAGATTCATATCGCATTATCAGCCACCCTCTTCACTTGCCAGTTAGCTGAAAAAGACGAAAAAAACGTAATAACAATGTTGTTTAACGAGTTAACCTCGTTTATTGCGTGGCTGTAAGAACCGCAGTGTGGGCACACCCTACCGGGCACCGCCACCTACTTAGCGAGCAGTTGGCCCGCGTTACTTGCAGCTATCTATTCTATTGCCGCTACGTGTAAACACTGGGAAAAGAATAGTATGGCCGGAACAGTAGGCGATAAACACAGCCAGTGTAAACGTTATGAAATGATACATACGGCGCATTCCGCCTAATTGTACTTGTATTTATGGAACACTTCGGCCTGTTCTAGAATATTGGCTTAAAATAATAACTTGTTACATCAGTAGTGCGCATTTTAGATCCTGTTACACCTATACATTTATATGCTCTATAAAACAATTGCAACCATATCCCTATGATATTTATCTATTCTACAAATCTCAAGATATGTTGCACTTTTAATACGCACCCATTCTAACTAAATCTTCTTATATATAAAAATGGATCGCAAAATGTGTTGGTAAGCGCATAACTTAATAACGCCTGGACCAATTTTACCAATTCTTTTTTTGTTATGTACGTTATTATAAGGAGAAGGTTCTTACGAATGATAACTTTAGAAAAGTTAAGGGGAATAGCGGGAATTAACAACCCTTTCGACGCCGTAGCCGTTCGTTTGCAAAACAAATATCTGACACCGGGGTAGTACCGGATACCCGTGCGGAGCAGGCGCGGTCTGCTAGTAAACAATAGAATTGATATGAGTATTTATTGAAATCCCGGTCTCAATGTATTAATGTTGGCATCCACTTGGATGCCAAAACAATAAAAAAAATCTGTTAAGTTTTTTAAACTCATGGCACAGTACATGCGGATTAACATACGGCAAAGAAGTTGGTAGGGGGAAGAGCAACATGAAGCATGTAATCCAGGCTGGATTACATGTACATAGATTGTAGATAGTACAAGGTGCAAGCTTTTTCCGAGTATATAACTCGGAAAAAGCTTGCACCTTGTATGTCATGCACGAGAAGCGGGCGCCTTCTTAATCTTACCCACGACTATTCGATTTTGCACCTATAGGATATAAATAACTTAAACTTTGACTTAATGTTGGTTCTCTTTTAAAATTCAATTTTTGGTGTATTACTCAAAATCTTTAACAATCGCGTATAGTCCAGGTTCCTTCTAGTTATAATATTCAAAAGTTACATTGTAGTATCTGTATCAACGATGACTTCGATTGCACTCTTTGCGAACATACTATAGCGATCACCAAAGATATTATTTATTTATTATAACACATCTACCTTAATATTACATACACATAACTTAAACTACAATGACATTGTACTTTTTTACATATTAAATAGTTTTATTTTAATAAACAATTGCATTCAACAATATAATAATATGATATTATATGAAAATTTAGTTTGAAAAAAAGATGAATTATTTAAGTACAATTTCTACGTTTTAGGGGGCCGGTCAAACTATTTTCTTCCGTCCTCAGTGAACCAATGTGTTATGTGCGCAATGGACACCTACGCGGGTT